CAACAGACACCCTCTGAGGTAGGTGGGGCTGAGAGAGCTCTTTCGAGAAGAAGAAGAAGAAGAAATTGGATTTATACCCCACCCTTCACTCCCCAAAGGAGTCTCAGAGCGGCTGACAAACTCCTTTCCCTTCCCTTCCCCACAACAGACACCCTGCGAGGTGGGTGGGGCTGAGAGAGCTCTTTCAAGAGCTGCCCTTTCAAGGACAGCTCTTGTCGGAACTATGGCTTGCCCAAGGCCATCCGGCAGCTGCAAGTGGAGTAGTGGGGAATCAAACCCGGGTCTCCCAGATTAGAGTCCGCGCACTCAACCACGACACCAAACTGGCTCTCCAGTTGGCTGTTGAGCCTGGTCTGTTACAGGGAGGGGTGGTTGGGTGGCCGCGCCTTCGTCCAAGATCTGTCCTATTAGGGTGTCCGGCTCTGGGTGGGGAAATACCTGGAGATTTAGGGGGTGGAGCCTGGAGAGGGCGGGGCTTGGGGAGGCGTTTAATGCCATAGAGTCCGCTCTCCTAAGCAGTCATTTCCTCCAGGGGAATCGATCCCTTCCGGGGTTGCCAGCTCCAGGTAGAGAAACTCCTGGAAGAGAAGAAGAAGAGACTGGATTGATACCCTAACCCTTCACTACCCGTAGTTCTGACAAGAGCTGTCCTTGAAAAAGAGCAGTTTCTGTCAAGAGCTCTCTCAGCCCCACCTGCCTCACAGGGTGTCTGTTGTGGGGGGGGGAAGGGAAAGGAGTTTGTGAGCCGCTCTGAGACACCTTTGGGTAGTGAAGGGCGGGGGGGGTATAAATCCAAACTCTTCGTCTTCTTCTTTTACCTCACAGGGTGTCTGTGGTGGGGAGGGGAAGGGAAAGGAGTTTGTGAGCCGCTCTGAGACTCCCTTGGGTAGTGAAGGGCGGGGGGTATAAATCTAATCTCTTGGTGTCATGGTTAAGTGTGCAGACTCTAATCTGGGAGAACGGGGTTTGATTCCCCACTCCTCCACTCGCATCTGCTGGATGACCTTGGGCAAGCCGTAGCTCTGACAAGAGCTGTTCTTGAAAAAGGGCAGTTTCCGCAAGAGCTCTCTGAGCCCCTGCCTGCATCTCCCGCGGGGCTGAGACCGCCTGAGCCCCTCTTCCCTCAGTAGCGCTGCCCTGGCTCTGATGAAACCACCCCATGGCGAGGAGGAGACTCTTTCTCCACCAGCTCGCATGTGACTCTGAGTCATTCCACCCCACCCCTCCCCGCCCTGCAGGGCTGTGAACAGGCCTTTCCCTCCCCCCTCCGGCCCTTCGCCGGCTTCCTCTCTCTCCTCTGGAGAAATGCTCCCTTTCCCCCATGGCTGCCCCCTGGCTCTTTCGGCAGCAAGCCGAATGGCAAAGGGGCTGTATGGGTGGGGGGTGCCGACCCTGCTCAGCTGACGTGAACTCTGTGCCCCATAAGAAAACAACAGAAGCCCATGTTGGATCAGGCCGATGGCTAATCCAGTCCAGCACTCTGTGTCACACAGTGGCCAGAAATACCAGGTGCCATCAGGAGGTCCAGCGGTGGGGCCAGGACACTAGAAGCCCCCCCCCACTGTTGACCCCCCCCAAGCCCCAAGAAGACTGAGCATCCCTTGCCCCAGACCGAGAGTTCCTATCTATACCTTGTGGCTAACAGCCACTGATGGACCTCTGCTCCATATGTATATCCAGTTCCCTCTTGAAGCCGTCCATGCTTGTAGCCGCCACCACTTCCTGTGACAGTGAATTCCATGTGTTCATCACTCTTTGGGCGAAGAAGGACTTCCTTTTATCCGTTCTAACCCGACCGCTCAGCAATTTCATGGAGTGCCCACAAGGAGTTCTTGTCTTGTGAGAAAGGGAGAAAAGTACTTCTTTCTCGACCTGCTCTATCCCATGAGTAATCTTATAAACCTTGATCATGTCACCCCTCAGTCGTCGTTTCTCCAAGCTAAAGAGCCCTACGCGCTTTAGCCTTTCTTCATAGGGAAAGTGTTCCAAACCTTTTATCATTTGAGTTGCCCTTTTCTGCACTTTTTCCAAAGCTATCCTTTTTGAGGTGGGGTGACCAGAACTGCACACAGTACTCCAAATGAGATCGCACCATCGATTTATACAGGGGCATTACGATACTGGCTGATTTGTTTTCAATACCCTTCCTAATAATCCCCAGCATAGCACTGGCCTTTTTTATTGCAGTCGCACACTGTCTCGACATTTCCAGTGAGTTATCTGCTATGACTCCAAGATCTCTCTCTTGGTCAGTCTCTGCCAATTCAGACCCCGTCAACGTGTATTCATAGTTAGGATTTTTTGCTCTGATGTGCATCACCTTGCACTTGGCCACATTGAACCCCATTTGCCACGTTGACACCCACTTGCCCATCCTCGACAGATCCCTTTGGAGTGCCTCACAATCCTCACTGGTTGTCACTCTTTGGGTGAAGAAGGACTTCCTTTTCTCTGTTCTAACCCGACTGCTCAGCAATTTCATGGAGTGCACACTTGAGTTCTTGTATTGCGAGAAAGGGAGAAAAGGACTTTTTTCTCGACCTGCTCTATCCCACGCGTAATCTTATAAACCTGGACCATGAAAGAGGGGAGGGTCTCCTGCCTTCACCTGCAGCTCAACCAGGCAGGATGGGGATATCAAAGCCCTGCGGCTGGACTGCTGTGACGTACCCTGCCTGGGGCAGCCCTTGAGCACTAATTGGAGCAACTGATGATGGACTTGCGTTGCCCGGCAGCTTCCAGAGGAAGCCGCTACAGATTGTAGAGCGAGGGAGTGTCCACGCTGATCTAGATCTGTGGGCCTTTGGGCCCAGCTGTCTGCACACTCGCCATGGGACCGGCGCCGGGGCCAGTGTTCCCTCTAAGCTGAGTTGGTGTGAGCTAGCTCACAGTTTCTTAGCCTCCAGCTCACACATTTTTGCCTTAGCTCAGGAAGGACGGCTCCAGAGCAAACTAATTTCTGCAGTAGCCAGATCACCTGCTCACAACTTTAATGCCAGGAGCTCAGAAAGGAGAATTCTTGTTCACGGCTTAGAGGGAGCCTGGGTCAGGGCTTGTGCCAATTCGTTATCCGGCAGGAGCCCAACAGATGGAGGGTGATGGTGCCGGGTGTTAATTTTTGGAGCTCGCCAGCCGCTTCCCAATAAAACACGGAATACAGAATGTTATGCATTCCCGGGACGTAACAATCGCAGTGGAGCAAGGCATGCCCGCCCAGCCGGATATGCGGAAGCCGCCAGTGAACTGCCACAAAGGGCCCTGAAGTGCATGGCTCTCCCTGCTTGAATGGCAAGTGCTTGGGACAGTTTGTAATGCCTCAGGTGCCAGCTGTTTGTCGGTCAGTGTGTTTCTGTAAACATTGGTGTCCTCTCTTTGCAGTTTGGTGTGGTGGTTAAGTGCGCGGACTCTAATCTGGGAGAACCAGGTTTGATTTCCCACTCCTCCACTTGCACCTGGCTGGATGACCTTGGGCAAGCCATACTTCTGACAAGAGCTGTCCTTGGAAAAAGAGCAGTTTCTGTCAGAGCTCTCTCAGCCCCACCGGCCTCACAGGGTGTCTGTTGTGGGGAGGGGAAGGGAAAGGAGTTTGTAAGCCGCTCTGAGACACCTTTGGGTAGTGAAGGGCGAGGGGTATAAATCCAATCTCTTCTCCTCCACATGCAGCTACTGGTGTGACCTTGGGTCTGTCACAAGTTCTCTCAGAGCTGTTCTCTCAAGAGTAGTCCTCGAAAGAGCTCTCTCAGCCCCGCCTACCTCACAGGGTGTCTGTTGTGGGGAGGGGAAGGGGAAGGAGTTTGTAAGCCGCTCTGAGACACCTTTGGGGAGTGAAGGGCGGGGTATCAACTCAATCTCTTCTTCTTCAATGCCAGACGGGTCACCCTGAGTGGTGGGACAGCCCACTGTTGGGTGCCTGAAGACTGTAGTGGGCACCCAGGGACGTACGGAAGGAGACGGCCAGTTGGCTGTGTAAGTTCTCGGTCGAGAAGGCCTCGAAAGGTCATCGCCAGCCCCTTGAATAGCTAGAATGCGCAGCGGCCCTGAGGCGTCCTGCTGGAACCTCGGGGAGGGGGGGTAACCCCTCCCCCAATCCTCCTGCTCCTCCCTGACGGCGTCTCCCTCCCTCTCCTCCCGCAGATCGTTGAGGCGGCATCGCGAGCGGGAGCCCCCCGGTTCGCCGGGATGCAGAGCATCAAGTGCGTGGTGGTGGGCGACGGCGCGGTGGGCAAGACCTGCCTCCTGATCTGCTACACGACCAACGCCTTCCCCAACGAGTACATCCCCACCGTCTTCGACAACTACAGCGCCCAGAACACGGTGGACGGCCGGACGATCAACCTGAACCTGTGGGACACGGCCGGCCAGGAGGAGTACGACCGCCTCCGGACGCTCTCCTACCCGCAGACCAACGTCTTCATCATCTGCTTCTCCATCGCCAGCCCGCCCTCCTACGAGAACGTCAAGCACAAGTGGTACCCGGAGGTGTGCCACCACTGCCCGGACGTGCCCATCCTCCTGGTGGGCACCAAGAAGGACCTCCGGGCCAGCCCCGAGGCCCTGAAGAAGCTGAAGGAGCAGAGCCAGGCACCCGTCACCACGCAGCAGGGCCTCAGCCTCGCCCGGCAGATCCACGCCGTCAAGTACTTGGAGTGCTCGGCCCTCAACCAGGACGGCATCAAGGAGGTTTTCACGGAGGCCGTGAGGGCCGTCCTCAGCCCCACGCCGGCCAAGCCCAAGAAGCCCTGCGTGCTCTTGTGAAGGACGGTCTCGTGCCTGCCTCTCCCGCCCCCTCTGTTCCTTGGGGGCAGGCTCTGAGGGGGCATTCGCAGAGAACGAGGGGGCCTCGCCCCCTCCGGGACCCTTGCCTCGCTTTCCTGCCCCCCAAGTGACGTCAAGACGTTGCGTGACTTCCTGCCACTCGCCTCCCTGTCCCTCAGCTGTTCTCTTCTTCAGAAGGATTAGCTCACCTGGACTCACCACGAGTTGTTGTAGGAGAGAATAAATCTGGATAATAACACAGGGTTGCCAACCGTGGGTTGGGAGATTCCTGGAGATTTGTGGAGGGGGTGGACAGAGGGGAGGGGCTCGGGGAACCAAGGGGGCTCATTAGGGCACGGTGACGTAGAAGCCACCAGTGTTCCCTCTAAGCTGAGTGAGTGTGAGCCGGCTCACGGGTTTTTTAGCCTCCGGCTCACACATTTCTCGTCTCCGCTCAGGGAGGAGGGCTCCCGAGCAGGCTAATGTACGCAGTCGCCCAATCGCTCGCTCAGGACTAATGCCGGTAAGCTCATCGAGTAGGATTTTTGCTCACAAGACTCCACAACCTTAGTGGGAGCATTGCTTGAAGCCACCCCTCCGAAGTGGCCGCATCCTCCAGGGGAACTGATCTCTGTCGTTCGGAGATCGGGTTGTCATTCTTGGAGGTCTCCGGGCCCCACCTGGGGGATGGCAACCCTACAAGGAATGGCGGAAAAGTCCTCTTTGCACTAACGCACGCCTCGTTTGTCTGAGATAAGGCCTCCCGAATGGGCGGTGCACGGCCCGTTTGCCTGTGGAGGCCTTCTTTCTGCCTCGGCCTTCCCAGAATGCTCCACTAAACCTCTGGCTAACATGAAGTGTCGTCGGAGCTGCCGGGCAGGATGGGGGCCCCCGGAAGGCAAAGAAAGGAGGCCGGAGACCAGTGTTCCCGCTAAGCTGAGTGAGTGTGAGCTAGCTCACCGTTTTTGAGCCTCCCGCTCACACATTTTTGTCTTAGCTCAGGAAGGAGGGCTCCAGAGCAAACTAATTTATTCAGTAGCCAAATTGTTTGCTCACAAAGTGGAATTTTTGCTCACAAGTCTCCACAGCTTAGAGGGAGCATTGCCGGAGACTGAGGCCTCTGTCCGTGGGCACAGGCCAGTGTTCCCGCTAAGCTGAGCGAGTGTGAACTAGCTCACAGTTTTTGAGCCTCCGGCTCACACATTCTTGTCTCGGCTCAGGAAGGATGGGGCTCCGGAGCAAACTAGTTTCTGCAGGAGCCCAATCGCTCGCTCGCCACTTTAATGCCAGCAGCTCACCAGGTAGAATTTTTGCTCACAAGGCTCCACAGCTTAGAGGGAGCCCTGGCACAGGCCCAAACTGAGAACTCCTCTGCCCAGGAACTGGGCTGCTGAGAAGACGGTGAGCCTCCGGCCGGCGGAACTGAGATGACCAGGCTGCCGTGGTGGGTCCTCTTGGGGGAGGGGTGAGTTTGCACTTCGGCAGAGCTCACCAGACTCCGTGGTTTCCCAACCTCTCCCCCCACCCCACCCCCCACACACGCTTCCTTCCTGCCTTTCTCAAAATGGATCCACGGCGGCTCTGCTCTTCAACCGCTGCACCCACAACCGCCTTCTTGCTCGAGCCCGGGTCTGCCTGCCGGCCTCTTTCCAAAGGGAGGGCTCGGGTTTGAACCAGTGGCTCGTAGGTGCTCCCGGCCGCACGCACGTTTGCCTCTCCGAGAGAGGAGAGGTGGAGGTCCCGGGGAAACTTCTGCAGAATTTTTTAAAAGCAGAGTTGAGACGGACGCTTCCAACGCTTGTCTCCAGGGCTCTGTGCGTGTGTGTGTGTTTTGCCGAGGGCGGGAGAGAACTGGGGTGCCTCAAAACCTTCCATTTCAATAAACTCCGTCTCCTAAGCAAATGTGCATCTCTGGATTTCTTTCCGTGACCCTTCTGCCGGGCAGAGATGCTGAGAACGAGGCAGCCCCCACCCCCAGCCCTTTCTGGATTCATAGAATCAGGGCTATTTTGGGGCAG